AATAATATGGGCGTGTAATAATCTGTAGTTTTAATTTGAACATGTCACCTAAAATGTCATATGGTATGCTTGAGTGTGATAGTTATGTTACAGAATTACATGCTTATGGTTTCTTAATAAAAGATTTTGTAATAAAAAGGGGTGTTATTTGCATCAGATCCTGTAGATCAACGCCCCCTGCGTCTCAACCATTATGGCCCTTAAGACACTGAACAATTACAAGCTAGTTCCCCAGACCATCTTTACTATCACAGAAGTCCCACCTCAGGCAGGTTCTATCCCTCCAGAACCTCACTCTTAAACTTCAGAGCTGAAGGAACCAGACAGAGGCAAGCATCTAGTAGCATTTCCTCGCTAGCCAGAATTCTGCCCAAATCACTCTCGAGTTTCAAAGATTAGTGCAGTGACATTTAGAGAGCTGCTTGTGCCTGCTATACACTGCTTTACCAAAAGTAAGTTTATTTCCTCTAGTTCTATCCTTGAGAGAAACAAGTTAAAAAAAAAGTGTCATATGGTTACTAACCAAAGAATCTTAATTTAGATTTTAGATCTATTTGTTCCTGGTAAAGTATTAACTGATAAGCTGGGTCCTGAAAGCTTCTAACAATGTCTAAAATCTCTGTGGGAGCTGTCTCCTAGAAGTATAGGAAACACATACCCCTACTTTAAGAAAAAGAAAAAAGCTACTTTATAAAGCACAATGAGATATAACTGATTTTCCTTCCAAAAGCCCCATCCTTCATCTTATAAAATTATCAAACCATTAGTATTAATAAAGTCCTGATTTTGTATCATATAATCAGTGTACTCTAATGTGCTCTTTAGCCGATTAAAGTTCAGTATTATCATCTAAATACTTTTCTATGGCCAAAATACCATTTCAAGGAAAAAGCTGTAATGAACAGCAACGAAATTAAACATAGTGTCTCTTAGAAGGCCTACACTACCAGGTTTGTGAAAAATTACTTTGAAAATAAGGCTTATGCTCCTCCTACAGGCATCTTCAGAAGGGTGAGAAGTGTTAACAGCCGTATCAGGCATGGGAAGATTTCCCAACTGAGTTGGACTTACATTGTTTGGTGAGCTAACCACCCCTAAAAATAGATCCCGTTTTCCCAAACCTGCTCTAGTAGAGCAAGAGCTGTAAATATGGGTCCTGGTTTCTTTTCATAGAAAATTAGGGGTTGAATGACAAAATAAAATCCACTATTAGGCCATTAAGAGGCCAAAGGTGCTCTATTTATCATATGGGTATATAGGCAGGCAGGTATATGGTGAACAGAACTAATCAGAGAAGAGCCCAACCAAGTTGCCCAAATACCCGAAAGTTTTTACCTACACTGCCAACATTAAGTTAAAATATTCCAAAGCAGCCCTTCATTCTACACAGGAAGAAAGTGTATAAAAAGGGTACTCTTTTTGCAGATTTCACATAAAAGGAAAGGGTACTCTTTTTGCAGATTTCACAATTTCATTCTGCCCCTTAAGATAGCTTCCCACTACACTCTGAATAAAACTCCAACTCCTGAAAACGGCCTCCCCAGAGAAAGGCCCTGCCAGATCTGGCCCCCCACCCCCTCACCAACTAAATCTCCCATCTGCACTCTCAGCCAGGCTTTCAGGACTCCAGCCACCAGGGCTTTATAATTCTAGCACAATCCAAGCTCCTTCCAACTTCAAGGTATTCGCATAATTTCCTCTACTTCGAAAATGAGTACCTCTCCCATACACTTCACACGACTGGCTCTTCCTTTCCTCCATCTTTTTTTTTTTTTGGGGGGGGGTTCTTGTATAAGCCCCGACCAGGACCGAACCCTCAACCTTGGTGTATGGGGTACCCAGCCTGGACTCCTCCTGTCTTAAGTGTCAAGTACCACTTCCTTAGAAGATTACCAGACACCTTCTCTCTCGTAATAATCGACTGTTGTACTTCTCAGACCTTATAATTTTACCTTATTTTAAGAGAGGAAGGGAGAAAGAAGGGGGAGCAGGGCAGAGACAGACAGACACACAGAACCACTGATGTGGGAGAAAAACATCGGTCAGGTGCCTCCCTCCCGTACACACCCAACAGCACACACCCAACAGTGGATGGAACCTACAACTTTTTGATACACAGGACGACCCAACCGAGCCACCCAGTCAGGGCATCAGATGATTTACTTTAATGTGTATTGACTTTAGAGACAGAGGGAGACAAAGAGACAGAGAGAGAAACACCGATATGAGACAAATTCCCTGAACGGGGACTGAACCCACAACCTAGGTAAGGCATGTGCTCTGACCAGGAATTCAACCCCCAAACCTTTGGTGTACAGGACAATACTCCAACCAAGCCAGGCCAGCCCAGCCAGGGCAGCTCTTATGATCTTAATTAACAGTGGCACCTCAATACTTGTTCTTTCATTCCAGAACTCCTGACGTTACCAAATGAACATGAAGCATTTTCTCTTGAGGGGGAGGGGTCATGATTCATACAAGTTCTGGCTAGCTTGATGAAGCCCAGCCAAGTGCCAAATGCTGAAACATCTTTTTCTTGTCAAAATGCAACAATTACAGGGTTTCACGAATTCTGAAGGTGACAAGTACCAAGGTATGACTATAAGTATGTTTTTGTGTATGACTTTTATCCCCATAAATCCCATGAAACCAGAGACCCCCTCTACTTGGTTTATCCAAAACTTAGCAAGGTCTGAATGAAATACAGTATGCATTCAACTTTTTATTCAGTCACCAAAACAGCGCCCTTTCATAATTCTTACAGTGACTTACCCGTATTTTTTGGACTATAAGACGCACTCCACCTGCCCCCATTTGGGAGGAATAAAGGTTGTTAATGCTGCTGTTGAGTTCTGTTCACACTTACATTGGTGAAATATTATGTCATGTTATTAAATATTTTACCACATTTTTTGCTTCAAAATTTTTTTCCCTATTTTCTTCCTCTAAAACCTAGTTGCATTTTATGGCCTGAAAAATATGTTCTATTCTCTATCCAATTAACCTAGTCTGCTCCTACTTCCTCTTTAGCATACAGGAATCAGAGAACTAAACCCGTAACTAAATCATTTGTCTGCATTTGCTTATTTTCTTTTCCTATGTATTTTAAACAAAAATCATATATACTTGAGGTGTGCAACAGGATTTGATATAAATATTCATAGTGAAATGATCACTCCAGTCAAATAATTAGCATACCATCTTCTCAGCGTTACCACTTTTGGTGTTTGATCAGGGCACCTGAAAGCTCAGCATGTTTCCAGCGTCCAGTACCAAGCACAGTAACCCTGTGGCTCTCCACCTTCTTTATCCAGACAGACAACAAGGCAAAAGCAAGTGGAAAAAATCAAACTCCTATCTTCCTATTCTCACCTTAATCCTGGCACTCTTTCAAGACTTTCAATAAATTGTGTGTATAATGATATAAACATGTACTCTGTGTGTGTGTGTGTGTGTGTGTGTGTGTGTGTGTGTATTAGCCTCGCTTTCTAATCAAATGTTGCCCTCTCATTCTGTCCAACATTTTGGCTTCAAATACACAGACCTCTGTAGAAGGCTCACTCTACGCTTGCCCTCGTTACTGTACTCTTCCATTTCCTTCACTTCCTTGGCCTACATCCCTCTCCCTCCTCCCTGAACACCTACCACAGAGACGTGTCCTCAGTCCCCTCCTCCCCTCCCGCTGACTTACACTCACTCGAGTCCCGTCCCCGTCCCCGTCCCCGTCCCCGCCCCCGTCCCCGCCCCGTCCCTGCTTCCCGCCCCGCCCCGCCCCGCCCCGCTCCCCGTCCCCGTCCCGTCCGTCCCCCCCCACCCGTGCTGATGTCGCCAGGAACATTTCCCAACCACACCCTCCGGGGGCCACAGGACACTCTTCTTCTTTTATCACATTTACAATCAGGTCCAAAAAGCCAAACCTAACCACCTCCGCCATTAAAACTAATTTCTTTTCCTCATTTCTATTAATTAAACCTGTGTTTCTAGGGGCTCTCAAATGTACAGTCTTCACTGACTGTTTCATTCCTTTAGTCCATTTTTCATCAGTTATTTACAATCGTCATTTTTTCTTTGGGAAAACCATCTAAGCCCTATCACCTCACTCACAGATTAAGGCCTACAATAAATTACCCAAGAGGCCTCTCCCCACAAATCCTTCTTGTACTATACAATGATGCCAATAACAAGTCTCCCTAAAACAAGATACGACACCCAAGAAAAGAACTTCCCTCACATTACCTCACTATTCCACCTTTTCTCCACAACGCATAAACAGAGGGCCTATGTTAGTAAACCTACTCGCCCTTTCTGTTCTTGTCCAGCCCAAACTAGGCAGGTCTTATTGCTGCTCCCTCTCCAACATCCTGTATGTATTGGATACTTCACAGACCAATACTAGACCTACCTCCCCCAACTGCTTTCTAATGTGCAATTCTCAACCTCTTTTTTGCATGTCTATAGTTTTTATACCCACATTGTTTTAAATACAGCAAAATTACAGATGTCTAGATTTTAACAATAATCTAGCATCATAAAGGGAGGATTTGAGATCTTGCACCCAGGCATATTTTCAATTTGGCTCATATTAAATGCATTAAGAAAAATTCCAGCATCAGTTCTGGCTGGTATGGCTCAGTGGATTGAGCACAGGCCTGCGAACCAAAGGGTCACCAGTTCAATTCCCAGTCAGGGCACATGCTTGGGTTGCAGGCCAGGTCGGGTCCTTAGTAGGGGGTGCACAAGAGGCAGCCACACATTGATGTTTTGCTCCCTCTCTTTCTCCCTCCCTTCCCCTCTGTCTAAAGTAAATAAAATCTTAAAAAAAAATTCCAGCATCACATAAATCACTTTCATTTCAACTAACTTGTTCTTATATTCCAATAAATATCCTTAAGCAATCTTTTATACTACATATGTAAGATTATGCATTATTAGATTAAGCCATTTTTATCCTTCTTCAGATGAAGCCAGATGAATCCTTTGGACCTAAGAACCAACTCTACCTGAAACATGTTATCATCTCTGCTGCTGCTGCTCTGCTTGGAGGATGACAGGGCTCTGGAAGTTTCACCCGTCTTTTGCTTCTTTACAGGTTTTTCTGAAGCAACTTGCTTTTTCCTCTTTAACTTCAAAAAAAAAAAACACGAATATAATTAAAATTTGCACACTAAATAATAAAACACATCTCAGGTTTATGGACAAGAAAGGGGATATGTACAAGTTCAGTGACCAAAAGTAACCTCACAGGACCAACCTGATCATCAATTCCTAACTGCGCAGGTCAGGGTGGTCACACCCAGGCCTGTGACTTTCTAGTGGAAGGTGTATCTTTGCACTAAGCCCTGTCCATTGTTTCTGTGCATCTAGGTGAACAAACGTTTTAAATGTCCTTTTCAGACCCCCGAAAAGCTTAATTAATCACCCTCAAGAGAACACACGGTCTAATCCAATCCCTGCCTTGCTTTCTCCCACCTTCATGCACATTCTTTACATTCCCTCCCTAACTCCAAATGTGAAAGATAAACTACAAACACAAACTGTCATTCTCCAGGTCATTTGAGATCTTGTTATTAGTTTGACTCAAATAAACCACAAAAATTCTCTACAGGTTTGGACATGTCTTATACTGACAGATTCAAAAGATTCCATCTTTTTTTTTTTTTTAAGATTTTATCCATCTATTCTAGAGAGAAGAGGAAGGGAGAGAAACATTAATCAGTTGCCTCTCATGTGCCCCCTACTGGAAACCTGGCCCACAAACCAGGCACGTGCCCTGACTGGCAATCGAACTGGCAACCCTTTGGTTCGTAGGCCGGCAACCAATCCACTGGACCACACCAGCCAGGGCAAGATTCCATTACTTTTTATTTACGGTTTAAAGAATCAAAAGACTACATTTATTAAGTAAAAAGTCATAAATACATAGTCAGGTTGCACATGACAATGAAACTTTGAAACTAACTAACCTACCACGGATATGTAACAGTGTTTTCAAACTGTTCTCAGGAGCCCAAAATTACTTTAGAAATTAAGGGTGACATTAACCAGAAAAGTTATTTTGTAGACCAGGATCCCACATAAGGTTTCTTTGGGAGGAACAGTAACAACAAAAAGATGAGGGACCTGCTGCTTTTAAACTTTTGGAAACCACAATCTACTAAAGCTACAAATGGAATGTGGTAATTATGAAGACTACAACAATTTATTCCATTTCTAGGATATGATATTTATTTATGCTTTGCTGATTCCAAAAGAGACTTAAACTGGCTTAGGGAATATGAGTAGGCATAGCTATGAAACCTATTTTGTACTGGGCACTACAAGCTAGTAAGTCAAGAACTTCCTCATCACAAAAAAGTCACTGAAAACAGACAGTGAAGTGTATGACTAGCATTCACAATCAAAACAATGCTTTAAAAGTAACATTACTGCAAAAGTTTTAATGGAGCCCCATTCTCAAAATGAGCTAACCGCCCATGAAAACCAGTAGAGGGCAGTCATGTTCTTCGGTGGAAAGCATAAGCTACTACCAGGAGCAAGAGTTGGTTTACAATTATAATACGAATAAAAATGATAATTAATAAATTATAGAATAAACTGTTTTGTGTTCTCACAACTGTAAACTTACTTTTTCCCACCTCCATAATTTAATATTTTATTAAATTCAGATGAAAGTGAGTAAAATACAATGTACATACGCAAAAAAAAGTGTTAAGTCCTTACAAAATCAACAGTACTATTTGGAACAAACAGCAAAAATTAACCCAGCTCAATAAGCAAAAGCAATTATTCTTTACAACAGGATGTCTAGATATTCCCTGTGGACTGGCACATAAAAAGTTCAATGAAAATGTTAAATGAACATATTCAAAGGCTATACTATGTGCAAATAAAAAAACTGAGAGATTTCCTACTACAATATATGCGTGTTCTTTGAGGTCTTGTTTCAACCCTCCAGATGATATTATACTGTGTATTTCCCCACGGAGGTCCGTCTTCTACAAGATTCTCCCTTACTAAGCCCTCTTTTAACTGTCAGGCTAACCAAGCTCAGAGACACAACTATGGACGCTTCTAGGAGATAAGGACAGTCTGCACGAAGGAAGCCCTGAGTGAAGTGAGAGGTGCTCAGTTAAGGGGAATCATGTACCACTTACAGTGCAGTTGTCATTTAATGCAGAAAAAGCCTATTCTGTCTAAATGGGTAATTTCATGTCAGCTTTGCTGGGTGTTAACTAAAAGGAGGGGACCAGGGCAAATGACACTGTAACTTAAAAGGTACCAAGCTCACATTTGAAGTAATACTTGTGAGCTCAATAAACACCAGTGGCTGAGAAGATTGTCAAAACGGACATCTGCATTAAAGGGGTTCAGATCATCTGGATCAACTACTTCATATAATAGCTATAGACAGACTCTAAATAATGACAATCAGTGGCTTTGACCTTATTCTAATACTAATCCCCTGGGGCCCATGGCAGTGGTCCCGCAGCTTTGGGGTTCCTCATCTGAGGCCGGCCAGAGTCTGGTTTAGGGGCTAGGAGTGCGCATGTACCAGCCAGCACCTGAGGCATTTTCGTGGACTGGAGTGGCCCAGGCCATCTGCACCTTGAGAAGCAGCGCTCTCACTGGGAGACTCGGGCTCACCTCGCTGTCCCTCAGAACTAACTATGGACAATCCTGCTGAACTAGGTATACAGAAACGACTTGGTCCAGGAATAGTCACCTTTTTGTCAACTTCACTGTCAGAATCACTGCCAGAAGAGCTCGAAGAAACAAGTTCCTTTGATTTAGGCATTCTGAAAGAAAACATACTGTGTAAGTAATTTACAAGCTGCTCTATTACCTTCAATTTAACACACTCCCACATCAGAAATGTAAGAAGCCCCATGGTCCGTTCAACCATCTTGTGGTACTGGAGTGGTTATACTGAGCACAGTGCTGTAAGTTACGCTCTGATCTATGCTCTTGCAAGCTGAAAACAACATGCAGAGTAAGGTGTTCTGACCCAGCACGGAGAAATGCCACACACATCTCCCCCTTACACCAATGGGTCTTCCTTTACTTCATTTTAGGGGGTTGGATGTTTATGAGCAGGGCACTTTGCGAGAAGCAGCTGACAGCAATCACTGTTAAAGCCACGGAGATACATGAATCTTCTCAGTACTGCTTTCCACTTCTCACTGACAAGACCTAACAAAATTATTCACTGCAGGAAATGACCATAACATCCACACAACACGGGGAACAGTTGCATTTTTAGATGTTGATATAATTAATTTGCCACTGTAGTACTATTTTTCATATTTTGTCTGTTCTTAATTTTATTTGGCTTTTTGACCATGCCCATCAAATAATAAATACTAATTCAGAGTTTACAAAGTTATACATAATTCACAACTCATTACATTTTACACTGATTTTCTACGCTTGAATACACCAGAATTTGAAAAATCTGCTTTTAGGAGAAGTAAAACCTTTCCTCAAATTACCACTAAGACCTAGTTCTTCAGGTTCCCCAAGACAGAGATACTGGGTTGGCCAGAAAGTTCATTTAGTTTTTTTATACAAGGCTCTAGTAATGCCTTTAACTTCACTCAAAACAATGTTGTTACACTGTATTGTGACAGCTGTCATATCAGCATGCATTTTTTAAAAACCATAATTGGAATTTTTGTGCAGCCATTTTAATATTGAAGATGGAAAAAATATACAATGTTTTTGGCATATTATGCTTTATTATTTCAGGAAAGGTAAAAATGCAGCTGAAACACAAAAACAGAATGCAGTGTGTGGAGAAGGTGCTGCAAGTGATTGAACCTGTCAAAGTGTTTTGGGAAGTTTCTTGGTACTACTGACACTTTGGCCAAATAATTCTTTGCTGTGGGGCAGTCTTATGCATTGGAAGGTGTTTAGCAGCACCCCTGACCTCTACCCACTAGAAGCCAACAGGAGAGATAGCCAATGTAATCAAAATACCCAAATCAATAAAGCTATTGGTGAAAATGGAAAATGTGTCTTTAATTTTATGGAGAAAACTAAACAGATTTTTTGGCCAAGCCAAAACACGGCCCAGTGCCTTCAGGCAGATGTTTACTGAGGGACTGCAGCAAGACAGGGCGGCTCGTTGAATGTATTTTTAGGGGTTTGTTTTTAAGGCCTAAACCCCAAATTTCGAGGAGCTCCAAGGCAGTCTATACTTATTTTCAAGGCACTTACAATACCAGGTGGTAAAATGCTTCTCATCAAAGTACCTTTAGCTCTCTCCATCTCCTTTTCTGCCTAGACTAAGCCATTAATTTTTGTATGCTCTAAAGGGCTCAATACACACAACACAGACTATAAATGTTTGGATAAAAAGGAAAAGAGGACTTCATTTTCTCCTTCAAAAAATTCGCAATCTAGCTCTAGACTGCACTTGAATTGGCACTGGCATTCAGTGTGTTCCACATAGGAGGTCGAGGTAAAAGAAGTGGGCCATCCCAACCCTAGCCGCTAAATTCGAGAAGCTCACACCCTACCCAACCCAGCCAGGTTGACTTGACTGGTAATTTCTCGATGAAAGAGTAACATTCTTGGGAGGAGCCACATTCATAACCACGTTTTATGCATTATTCCTGCTACTGCTCCATTTTACCTCATCTCCAAGTCAATTCAGTTTTGTTGTATGCTAGCTGCTAATACTGCCAAGGCACATTTTTTAAAGGTAATTAAATTAAACATAACCTATTTTTCGCTTTGGAACAGCCTAGCGTAACTATGCCATCTGTTAAAAGCTGACTGGGGGCCTAGGATCATTTCAAAAAACACCCTCCTATTCAACCCAGTAAGTCCACTAACAAGAAACAGGTCATGGTAACTGTAGCCAGCCTCTTAAGAACTTTTAACAAAACATGTATTTGTATTTAATGTGCTTTTACTATCTTCCCCCCCGCCCCGCAAAAAAAAGCAGACTCATAATTCAGGCAAACCATACTAAAATCGCTCGTGTAGAATATATACAAAACCCAAATTAACAAAACTAAGTCTTTGGTCATCGATAGCATGTTGGATTAGAAAAGATGATGTGAAAAGAAACCAAGACTAAGGGCACATGGATTCCGTACAACACGAGAGTGATGAGCACCAAGACCCGGGGAGGGGGGTCGCGCGGTACCAGGAAGCCTGCCACAACTCCCGGGCTGGAAACGGCTGGAGTCGCGCAGGGGACAGGTTGGTCGGAGGGGGCGTGGGAGGTGGCGGAGTGCGGAGGAGACCGTGCGGGAAGAGGAGGGACTTGCACCAAGCGCCATTTTCTTCTCTCGAAGCATTCGCTACCCGCTGCAAACCAGCCGTCCTCCACCCTTTGCCCTCTCCGCCCCCCACCCGCCATGCTACCCCGCTGGGATCTGCTCCCTCGCTTCCCTAGAGCGCCCCCCACCCTGAGACAAGGGTGGGGACTCCGCGAAGCCTTGGGGGAGGAGCAGCAGACCCTGCACGCGCCCCGGGCCACGGACCGGGGCGGGAGACAGCCACAGCCGCCGCTGCATTGTCCCGGGGGCGCCACGACCCCCTCCCCGCGACTCCTCAGCCGGTGCCCGAAATCCCGGGCCGCCACCGCGCCCACCCCCGCTCCAGGCTGTTCCCCCGAGGCCTGGCTTCTGGCGCGTAGGAGATTTGCAGCACAAGGGCCACGGGGTCGTAGATAGAGGAAGGGCGTCAGAGACGGAGGAGGGGGTCCGTGGAGGCCGAAGCAGGGAAGGGGTAGGTCAGGCAGCGCCGCCATTTCCCGTGGCCGTCACCCACGAGAGGAGTGATGGGCCGCGGGCTGCGCGTAGCCCGGGAAGGAGGGTGAAGGGGTCAGCAGGGTAGGGGGTTCGAGGGCTGGGGGCGGAGTCCCGCGTACTCACGCTCCGCTCCTGCTTCCTAACAGCCCCGTGCTCGCTCGCTCACGACTGACAGAGAACCGGACGTGACGGAAGCCAGGAGACACCGGCTCCGCCCCCCTGGAACACGTGATGGGGCGTGGCTTCGCTGCCGAAACCCACACTGAGACCCTTTCCAGGGCCTTAAAGGAACCGCCCCTCGTCCTGAGCTGTTGCCTTGAGAGCGAGATGCAGGGGAGATTGGGTCTGTGAGTGAATGAGAGAGTGAATGAAACATCAAAGAAAAGCACCGAGCTTTGTACTTGTTCCATAAATGTTTCTTGTATGAAAGTGAAGTGTCCACCCTAAAAAAAGTGGACACTTTGGCACATTTCTCCTAGAAATGACCCTCCTCCACAAATCCCCCAGTATTTGACTGCCTGGTAAAATCCAACTCTGTTTAATTACATAAAACGCAAGAATTTTTGCAGAGGTCGTGGGCCACACAAACCTTTATCCCTAAACTGAAGTCCTGGAGGTATAAGATAGTTCACAGAAGGCAAGAGGAATCCATACTACAAACAAGAATATATCTAATAGATTTTTTCAGTATATGTTTAATGAATGCCTACTGTGGCTAAGAATAAACGTAAAGTTATATTCAAACAGCACACTTAGCAAGCACCCACTATGTGCCAGGCACCGCAGGAGGCACTTTACATGTATCACAAACTCGACAAGCACTTTCCAGAGTAAGAAGGATTATTCCCTCCGTTTTATGGATGAGGAAACCAACAAGGTTAAATAAGTTGGAGGCTCATGCAATGAGTCATGAGGCCAACCCTGCAGAGCCTGATTACCCGCCTGCAGACCGGGGAAGGATGATGCAAAAGTTCTAGCCCACTCCCTCATGCAAGGCTAGGTGGCCACTTTTTAAAAATTCCTTTTACCTAATCTTCCAAAAAAGGTGAAATAATCTGTAGGGACTAGGTTACCACTGAGGGATATCACTTGGGAGTGAGTATAAAGGAATCCGCTAGGATGCTGTCTGTATCTTGGTCTGAGTGGTGGTTGTGTTACCAGAGAGAAACCCGAGTTAGCCCCACCAACCCCCCCCCCCCGCCCCCAGCTTGTTCTTCGGTTCTTGCCTTGCTCTCAGAAGACAAATTCAAGCAAGAGAAAACACGTATAGTGGAAATAAGATAGAAAGGTTATTTATGAAACACACAAGCATGAAACTACAGGCAGGCACCCAGCTAACCTAAATGCCCCATGTATAGAGGAAATAAAGTTGTTACTAAGTTTGTTCTATACACTTGAGCCAATGCTACAAGTGGACACCCAGCCAATCTGAGTGAGCAGGCTACTGGGGTTCAGGGGTTCTTGGTTCTCCCTCCTCCAGCTTCTAAACCTTCAGAATAGTATACAGCTACAAAGGCTTTCTTTCTCAGCTATTAAAGGCTCTTAGTAAAATTGCTATAGAAGCTCCCTTTCCCAGTACAGAGTCTCAAGGACTTCCCTCCTCCTGCGCCATCCTTGCTTGTGATATTTAAAATGCCCACAATCTCACTGGACCAGGCTCAGGACTGCTGAGTAGTGAATGAAACGTGTCTCCCTCCTCCTCCAGGCCTTGGTTTGCTACCTATCCTACCTAACACTGGCACAGATATGTACAGATGTAAAATTTCACTTAATAGTTGTGCATTTTACAGCATATGAGATATACTACAATGAGAAAGTTGAAGAAGTAAAAACTAAAAATACTAAAGTTAAATTGTCAAAAGATGAAATGCACTCAATAATCACTGTACTAGCATAATAGCTTGCTAGGCTGAAGTCTGCATATCCAAAGGCAGTTAGGGTCGCCCCCCAACCAACACTACAACCAACTGAATAGAGTTCCTATGCGGCCACCAGTGCCAGAGGACTCGGTGGGAGGTGTCTGGTTGGGCTGAGTGATATTCTGGGGTAACTAGAGGATCACCTAGCTTCCTGGGCCTTGGGAGCCGTGGATGTGTTGCAGAAAACAACTCACATGCAGGGGAGATGGCAAAGCACGATCCTTTATTACGCGCGCGGGCTCAAAGGGGTTAAATTCCCAAATCCTGAGCAATGAACTCAAGCTGAAGTTTCCTTTATATGCTTGTTACACAGGCAGAAGGAGGAGGAGAAAGGAGTGCAGCTGCTAAAACGTGGGTTAGTGTGCGACCTTGAGATAACGGCTGTTGCCTGGGAACGGCTACTGGTCAGCTCCTACTTAAGAACAGCTACTGCTCAGCTATGTCCTGTCACAGATGGAGTTCTCCCTCAAAACCTGGGTGCTTCCTGAGGAGGGACAGGGTGCAGAGCACTGGTTGGAGTCATTTGACATACATCCTCCCCTCCCTGTCCTCCAACATAGAAAGAGCTACATATACTTCTATTTACTCAAGAGCAGGAAACTCCCCAAAGGTCCTTTCCCAGTTATTCACTCATTCAACAAACATGTATTGAGCACCTACTATATCCTAGCATTGCTCTAAGGGCTGGGACCTCAAGAATGAACAAGACTGATACAGTCGCTATAAGCTCATAGAGCAGAATAAAAGCAAGTAGAAAATAAATAGTAATTGAAAAATAAAATTTAAAGTTTTTTTTAAATTACTAGACCTTACAAAAATATCTTTTATGAACATTGAGAAAGTTGTTGGAAGCTACCTACTTTTTATCTTAATTCAAATAAAAACCTGGAATACAAAAAAGAAAGACAGAGCAATGCCATAGAAACTGTTGGGTTCAGGTTAATTTCGACATAAAAGGGCTGAAATGGGAATATTTAGACATGTAGCTGCATTAAAAGAGACAGCCACGCTAAAACTTTGGCACTGGAGTTTCGAAGCAGTGCAAGAAGTAGGCACTAAGACCCTAAGGTCCAGATAGACGAGTCTGAAGAACAGAAACCCACCCAACGTAGAAGCCCACTGGAGACCAAGGGCTGCACACAGGTGGGGCCCACACATCAGCCCTGCAGGCTCAGCGGCAAAACCACCCAAGCCCTAAGAATTGCTGGCTCTGCAGAGCTGCAGGAGCCCAGTTCTGGTCTTTTTCCAAGATCCAAGGCAACACCATTACCTCTTCTTCACCTATCACTACTACTAATCAGCACCGAGGAATCCCGCACCTTTGCTTCAATGGTATTTGCACCCAGAGGAAGAGATCTGTGTTAGCCTGGTGGGGTGGGTGGGGGGGCGTGGCGAGGGGTTGAGATCACTATACATGAATATGCATATCTATATAATTGTCAAATGGAAGCTGCAACCACAAATACCATAAAATTCTGCAGAGAGCTGGGATTGGGACAGGGAATGCTTCAGAGAGACAGCCTGGAGCTTGACCTAGAGACATGAGAAGAACATTTGGAGTGGGAAAAGAGGAAGACTCTGACCTAAATATGACCACATTGAGAAGCTGCAAGTAGTTAATCCAATGGGAGTGGAGAACTGGCACAGAGGAAGAGTGAGAGATTCACCTGGAATGGTAGGGTGAAGCCAGATGGTAAAGTGCCCCAAATGGAGTCCAAAGAGCTCCAATCTGAGGCCTTTTGACTTTATTCAATTGAAAAAGAAGAGTGAGATATGGAAGGTTTGAGCCAGCGCAATGAAATGTTTTAGGAATGTCTGGGCTGATACCAAGATTGGGCTGAAAAAAAAGAAGGAAGAGCTAGAAGCTAAGAACACCACAGAGAAGGTTGCTCCAATTGCCAGGGTAAGGGATATTTCCTAGAACATCAAAGTGACTGTCGTTTGGGCTGGGCCCCAGCTGAACTCTGCACATGTCTGGTCCAACAGAGGGAGCATTAAGAGTAATGACATAAAAGACGTGTTCTAGGACCAGAATCATAAATATGGAGATCATTTGGAGGGTTACCACCTGGGAGGGCGAAGGAGGAGAATGGGGGGGGGAAAGGTGCAGCAATTAAGAAACATGACTGGTAGGTACAAAATAGACAGGGGTTGCTAAGAGTAGTATAGGAAATGGAGAAGCCAAAGAACTTCTATGTATGACCCAGGAACGTGAACTAAGGGGGTGGGGGGCAGGTTGCTGGACAGAAGGGGCGTACTGGGCAGAGGGGGGCAAAGGGGAAAAAATGAGAACAATTGTAATAACACAGTCAATAAAATATACTTAAAAATAAATAAATACAAAAAAAGTAAAAATTTTTAAAAAGAGAGGGAGATCTGTTCTTCTAAACTTAAACCCAGTGGGTACAAGCAACTGTTTTGAGACCCATTCGCCTGTATTGAATGCAAAGGGGAGAGGGCCAGCCTTCCCTCTCTGCCACTGATTATGGCACTGCTGTGGAATTGCGTGGGCTCGATTCCAAGATAAACTCCTGGGCTTCCGTGTGCAACAAGAGAAGAGGCCTTACCCAGGCGAGGAGGGAGGCCATGGACTCCAGCAGAGCAACATTTGTTAAACACAGTGCCCAGCGGTGACCACCAGCCCTGGGCCAGTCTCGCTCCCTGAGTGGAAGCTCCGAGAACGCGTTCTCATGGCTGCACGGCAGAGAACATGTGTGGTGCAGAATCCCACATCGTGAAGAAGGACGGCAAGTGAGGGGAGTGGTAAGGGATCTGGATAGCAAAGTCAAAACGGAATCCCATAGATGTTCAGAATTACAGGCCTGAGCTGCCACGACAGGCTGGAGGGGGTGCACATATGGGATGGTGAAAACAAGAGGAAATGGCTGAGTTTCCCGTGATGGAGCAATCAGATCCCTGCTTCCTGTCCACCTACCTCATCCTTGTAGGAGGAGGGGGTTATATCCTCTCTGGAAAGATTGCCGGAGGGATGGTATGTGCGAAGGGGTTGAAGGGCAAATAGAATATAGGACATCAGGCCAAAGTCTGAACACTAATATGAAAGCATTCCTCCCCAGATCCTTTCTCCTTCCAGCACTATTGGAGCTTTTAAAAATTAAATGCAAACAAAAAACGCAAATGCATTTCTTTTAAAAATGTTTTAACTCTGAATCATAATGAAATAAAAGTAGCCAAGAATATATGCACTCACACAGCTGCTTGGCTGGGTCCCCCTGCACACCCCCACCCCTCACACACACCTACCTACCTGAGAACGTGGTAGGAGAGGCA